CGTGGGGCCTGAACTCTGGGCCTGGGTGCTGTCCCTCAGCTCTTCAGCTCAAGGCTAGCGCTCTACCACTTGAGCCACAGCGCCACTTCCGGCTTTTTGCTTTTTGCTTATGTGGTGCCTCATGAGGAATCGAACCCAGGGCCTCAAGCATGCAAGGCAAGTGCTCTACCACTGAGCCACGTTCCCAGCCCCGGGTTTTTTTTTTTTAACTGTATTTTTTTTGTCTTTTCTTTTTTGGTACTGGGGATTGAACCCAGGACATTGCACTTGCTAGGCAAGCACTTTGCCACTAAGCTACAACCCAGTTCTGGTTAAAAGAATTTTAAATGGTGACACTTATGTTAGCTATAATAAACACATAATTCCAAGTGCTCTCTTGGCAATGTTTTGATTGTTTCTTCTTTTCCTGAGCGGTTCTTAACTTTATATTTTTCTACGGTGCATCTCATTTCAGGTCCATGTACTAACTTTCACTGTTCACATGTTGCTGCAAGGCCTCACAAGCAAGCTTCATGTCGGGGATTTGGACCCTTGTTTAGATATAATGATTGAGGTAAGATTTATAGTAGTAAGTCTAACTTTTTTAAGTGGGCAAAGAACACAAAACATGAGTTTACAAAATAAGAAACAATAATCTAGCATCCAGTGGCACATGCTTGTAACTCTAGCTACAGGAGGCTAGGCCAAAAGCATGGAGATAATTCTGAAGAACAAAGTTCAAAGTCAGCCTATGCAGATAAAACTGAGAGACTCTTCTCTCCAATTAGCCAGCAACAAGCCAAAACTTGTGACATGATTGAAATAGAGAACCAGTCATGAGAAATGAGAAATTGAGGTTCTGTGTGTAAGTTCTAGTATTAGCACAAAAGACAACAACAACAAAAAGCTTATAAAAATGAAAATAAAGGCTGAGTGTGGCTCAGTGGTGAACTGGTTGCTTAGCAAGTGCCAGATCCTGGGTTCCATATCTAACACCAAAAGAAGAAAAGAATCAGAGAAGTGGCCTAGATTTGTATGAAAATACATTGAACTAGAGTTTCATTAAAATAACTCCTGAGCCACGTATGGTACAGTGATAATCCCAGCACTAGGGAGGTGAGGTAGGATGGATGACCTTATCTTAAGACAAAAGAAGTAGCAGCTGTGTATCTGTGAGGTATTTTTTTTTCTCATCAATCATAAGGTTTAATATTTTCCATTGTCTCTTGTCAGTTGGTCCCCAGAGTGCTTCAACAACAAATGAAATCTATAGAAATTCCTCCCATACCATTTCAGTCCAGTCCAACTTGCCTTCCTTACAATTGAACATGCCAGAGCTCTGTCAAAGACTGCTTATGTTGCCTTGTTGAGTGCACATAATCCTCATTTGTCCTTTCTTCAAAAGATCTTTAACCATGAACTGTTTGGTGCCCTCGCGGAAGAGAAAGAAGTAAAGCAGATCCTCTCCAAAGTTATGGAGGCCCGAAGAAGCAAGAGTTACGACTCTTATGAAATCCTGGGCAAGTTTGTAGGAAAAGATCAGGTTACAAAGCTTATTCTTCCATTAAAAGAGGTAAGGATTGCAACACAGGAGGTCCCAGCAACAGTATTATTGAATTTCTGAAAGGAGCTTACAGAGCAAATGTTATACTTGCTCACCCATTGTTTTCTTGGGGCTGAGGGAACCAGTATCAAATGGGCACTAGGTGGCAGAAATGAGGTGGCTGCTCTAGACATAGTCATTGATGTCAAAGGACACTGATGTCAAAGGAAAGGCAGTAAGAACTGGAGTGCAAGGGAATGTTACAGCCTAGACAGCTCAACAGCTAAAAGTAGCCATTAGAGTTAGACTACTACTTCTAGACTTCCAACAGTAGATAATTGGCATGAATTGCCTAAGCACAGCTTCTACCTTGTACAGATATTCACTGAGGTAACTGATACTTCTCGCTCTCTTTTTTTTTTGTGGGGGGGGGCGGTCGTAGGGCCTGAACTCTGGGCCTAGGTGCTGTCCCTCAGCTCTTCAGCTCAAGGCTAGCACTCTACCACTTGAGCCACAGCGCCACTTCCAGCTTTTTTCTTTTTACTTATGTGGTGCTGAGGAATTGAACTCAGGGCCTCATGCATGCAAGGCAAGCGCTCTACCACTGAGCCACCTTCCCAGCCCCCTGATACTTCTCTTTAAAGAAAAGAGACTTCAGGCTCAAGAGAATGGAAAGGAGCATAGAAAAAACAGAGGGTCAAACTGAGTACTGGTAGCTGTTGAGATCTGAGGATTGTGATTCAAAGCCAGCATGGTCAGGAAAGTTCATGAAACTTTATTTCCACCAAAACAACAAAGTGGAATTATGCCTCAAAATGGAAAAGCTGTAGGCTTAAGAATCAAAGCTCAGGGACAATTCCCAGGCCCTGGGTTTAAGCTCCACAACCAACAGAGAGAGACAGAGACAGAGAGAAAAGGGAGAGGAGAATCAGAATTTAGTTTCAGGCTGAGCTATAATCCTAGTTACTTGGGAGGCTGAGATCTGAGGATCACTGTTCAAGGCCAGCTCAGGCAGGAAAGTCCATGAGACTTTTATCTCCAATTAACCACCAGAGATGGCACTGTGGCTCAAGTGGTAGAGCTCTAGCCTTAAGTTGAAGAGCTCAAGGACAGCGCCTAGGCCCAGAGTTTGAGCTCCATGAAACAACAACAATAATAAAAAAGAATTTAGTTTCAGACTTTTCTGGTCCAAAGCTCAATTTCTTCCTACTGTTTAATTTGTTCCTTGGAGAACAAGGATTCTAATCCACCTGCTTTTCTGTTGTTTTATATGGCTGTTGCAGAGGTAACAGTTATTAATTTTATTACTGCTTTATGTATTAAAAGTAAGGCAAATAGCATCGAGTGACATGAACTACTCATACTTCCAGATGATTTGGTGTTATATGAACTTTATTGTTCTAGAATGAGGGCAGTTTTATCTGATTTTCATCTAAGAATGTTGGATATGTTTTGAAATGGAAAAAAAATTTCCTACAAGTTAATAATTTGAAATTGCTGAGTATTTTGCTGAGGTTGGTCCTGGATTCCCATTAAGTTCACTAGAGTTGGCCCATTAACTAATTTTAAACTCTGACACTTGACCATTGCAGCTCTTCATTCCTACGGTGTCTGTGGAGTTGTGACTGTACATTTTGTTCATTGGGGGGTGTGTGTATGTCCTGTTAATCACTCCTTCAGGGCATTGGGCAGGTTGACACCTTACAAGGCTCACATTTTTATCTGCAGCCTTGCTAATAGGGAAGCGGGGAGCTGGCAGGAGGGGAAGGAGGCCAGAGGCAATGCATTTCTTCTAGTGGTTGTCTATGGGGCCTAGGTTATGAATGGACTTTTAATTTGTGTGTGGTATCTGTTTTGAAGTGTTATTAATTAGGAAAAATAATACTGTTAAGCAAGTAAAAAGAAAATATCACAACAACTAAAAATGTACTTTTGTGTTTTTTCAATGTGACATTTATGTTTGCCAATTTAGATCTTACAAAATACCACAAGTTTAAAGCTGGCCCGCAAAGTTCATGAAACCTTACGACGAATTATAGCAGGATTAATTGTAAATCCGGAAATGACAGCAGAATCCATTCTATTGCTCAGTTATGGTTTGATCAGTGAAAATCTACCCCTGTTAACAGAAAAAGAAAAGTAAGTTTGGGGGAAAGAAAATGTTAACTCAGCTTTGAGTGCTTCTTTCGGACAAGCTATTTGGGCTTCTCATTTACTCATAAGTGGATTAATTTAATAATGAATTGATTTAGTGAAAACAAAATTTAAGCCAGGTATGGCAGTGTATACCTGCAATCCCAACCCTTGGGAGGCTTAGCCAGGAGGATTATGAATTCAGGGGTAACCTAGGATACCTAGAAGACCTTGTGTCAGTAAAAAAAAAAAAAATGATAGTGGCCAGGTGCTGGTGGCTCATGCCTGTAGGGGAGAAAGCCATAGCAAACAGCACTCTGTTGAGTTCTGGTCTCTCATGTCCATAGAAAGCCTGCTACTAGCTTCCTGGGATGTAGTTGACAGTGTCTTTTCTACTGTGTTCTTTACACTGTGACTGACAGAAAACCAGCAGTCCCTGCACCTGATCAACGTCTACCACCCCAGAGTTGCCTTCTGCTCCCCCCAACTCCAGTCCGAGGTGGACCGAAAGCTGTTGTGAGCAGAAAAACCAATATGCACATATTTATTGAATCTGGGCTTCGGGTAAGAATTACTCTTTTTTTTTTTTGTGCACATGTGTGTTGGTACCAGGGCTTGAACTTCAGATTTTGTGCTTTCAGTTGACTGTTTTTGCTTATGGCACTTTTTGCTTTGCCATTTGAGAGCCAGGCCTCCAGTGCTGGCTTTTTCTAGTAAATTAGAAATAAGATTCTTGCATATTTGTCTGCCCTGGGCTAGCTTTGAACCATGATCCTCAGAAGAATCCCGAGAAGCTAGTATTAACAGGCAAGAGCCACCAATGTCCAGCTTAAGAATTACTCTTAAAATGAAGATTTGGCTTCTTCAGCAAGTATGTACCATTTCAATCCCTGCACTTTCCATAGCTGTTCATTTTTACTGGAAGTGCCTTACTATAAGTATATGATTTCTTTTCTTTTCTTTTTTTTGTCATGGGGCTTGAACTTGACATCCTGGGCGCTGTCCCTCAGCTCTTTAGTTTAAGGCTAACACTCTACACTTGAGCCACAGCACCACTTCTGGTTTTCTAGTGGTTAATTGGAGGTAAGAGTCTCAACGGAGATTCCTGCCTGGGCTAGCTTTGAGCCTCAGTCCTCAGAGCTCAGCCTCCTGAGTAGCTAGGATTACAGGCATGAGCCACTGCCTACTGGCTGTATAGGATTATTTTTAAAGGTACTTTTTTTTTTTTTGGGTCTGAAACCAGGACTCAAACTCAGTTTCTGACTTTCATGCACTGACTGGTGCTCTACCACCTGAGCCTTGCTTCCAGCCTCAAAAATACATTTGTCAAGTTATTGTTCATCTCTTCTAGTACACTTTGATGGTATTATTGTTCCAGAATTAATACTCTGACCTAATACTTTCTTGAGATTTACTGTCTACTCAAAACTAATTCTTGCTAATAGTAGTAAGCTTTTATAAATATGAATCTAGAGATAGGAGTATAACTCAGATAAGAATACTTGCCTACTATGTACCAGGACCTGGTCTCATTCCTCAGCACTGCAAAAAAGTAAATAATAAAAATTAGATCATCTTATTTCCTTTGGCTCCCTTTTTTCCTAGGACAGGTTTTTTTATTGTTATTTTGTTTTGTTGTTGTTGTTATACTTTTGTGGTGTTTGCTAGCACTTGGGCTTAAATTCGGGGCTTCACAAACTCTCCCTTGGCTTTTTGCTCAAGGCTGGTGCTCTACCACTTGACCCACAGCTCTACTTCCTAGGTCCCCATTCTTCATTTGCACTGTGAGGCTCTAGCCCCTTGCTGTTGTATTCCAACATATTTCAGCCACTTTCTTTTCTGCCCACGCCTTCACTACCCATTCCTCCCTCTCCCGAGGTCCCCACAATCCTAATAGCCCTAGCACTGGTACAGTCTGAGCCCTTAGCATTTATACTTGCAAAGCATGGCTCCCTGCTGAGAACTGGTTTGCTTGTATGGTAAATGGACCCAGCCTCTCCACTCCCAGTGAGCTCCCACCTTCCCAACTTGCCATGATTCTTAGAGGCAGTTTCTCATTCCTTAAAACTTGCGTTATTCTAAATAGAACCATCTTAACATTTCATGTTCATCTCTTCAAGTCATTTCACATTTGCCACTGTCATGTAACCTTATGTAAACTAATGTTTTTAAACTTTTAGCTGCTACATTTGAGTTTAAAGACTTCCAAGATCAGTCCTTCAAGTGAGCATGTACTGGAAATGTTGGATCCTTTTGTATCTCTGCTCATAGACTGCCTGGATTCCATGGATGTGAAGGTACATGTTGGTTTGCAGTCCATATAGAAGTGTTTATTTCTTCATAGAACTGCTTTGTGCAGAATACCTACAACCTGTTTGGTAGCTCTTGTTTTATGAGGTTATTGATTTTCTACATGCATTAAGGATATGGATATCATGAAACATTAGGACACCAGACATTAATAAGTTCTACTTGTTTGAACAGTCCTTGATGTCTTTAAGAGCACTTCTGGGTATATTAAGTGGCTCATTTGGTTTTTCCAGTACCTTCAAGAGGGTGAATGGTATTGAACCCAAGCCAGTCATGATCATCATCATCATTGTTGTCATCATGATGGTTATCTTCATTGTCACTGTCTCTAATCCCTTCAGCCCTGAGACAGATGTTCTTTTTTTTTATGATTTTTTTTATTGACTTCAAGTGATTACACAAATTTCACAGTATTGTGAGAGTGATAAAGTCACAAACACATTTTAACCTTCACAAGGCAAATTGTTATTATCTTGGTTTATAATGTTTGTGAATTCTATGAGCTTTGACAACAATGCAACTATTTCTTCCACATCAGGTGATGTATACATTTCTTTCCTGCTGCTTAGTGTAAACTGTTCCCTCTTTCCCTCTCATTTCTTCCCTCCCATTGCTCCCCTTAAGTTTCTTAGTTCATTTTCATCAATGAGACAGATGTTCTTAATGTATCCGTTTCATAGACGAGAAAACTAAGGCTGGTATCTAATTATAATCTACATTATGAAGCTGGATCTTGTCAGACTCCAGAACCTATATATATCCAACTTCCTCATATCACCTTCTTCACCAATGAAGGTGCCAGGAAGCTAGGTAACTTCTAAGGTCACAGGTCATCCGTTGCAGGGCTGGGATTGAAACCTAGTACAGTACAGTCTTTGAGATTTCCATGTTCCTCCCTCTCATCTTCATCCAGTCCAGCAGAATGAGGCTATAACATCACAGCAGCTGGAGCAGTAAGGGATAAGCTAGGCTAGCTTATTCTGGTGATTGCTATGGTTTAGCCTTGGAAATTCAGAGGGGTGTGTCTGTGTGTGTGTGTGTGTGTGTGTGTGTGTGTGTGTGTGTGTGTGTGTGTGTGTGTGTGTGTGATCACTTGGTCCCAACACACTTTTTCTGAACCTTTCTGCACAGCCCTTAACTATAGTAAATGACAGTTAATCATTTCTATGCTGTTTCCGAGCCTTCTCTCAATTGGTTAAGCACTGAAGTATTGTCCATCTTTATAATTATTTACTTTTGAGACAGTCTCGCTGATGTATGACGCCCCCCTGGCTTTGATCCCAGGACTGTGTAAATATAATAATAATAAAACTGAGTACGAATGGGTTACATTTGAAATAGCAATTTGGAAAACGGAAGCTTTTTGAAATGTACTTTTTAAAAAATAACTCCTAAAATTGTTTCGACTACTCATGTTCTTGAGAATTATGGTAATCAAGACCTTTGTTTGCTTGTGAACTGCTTCCACTTGCTATGGCTAAGCAGTATGTTCTTCCACGTGGAGGTGCAGGGAACTTAGGGAACTTATGTTCTGTACAGCATCTTGTTTATCCAGCTAACTATTATACAGTACACATAGTCTCTGGGCCTGGACTGATGGAATACTACTTTGTAAGTTGACTATCTGCTTGGCTTTCGCAGGTGATCACAGGTGCTTTGCAGTGCCTGATCTGGGTCTTGAGGTTTCCTTTGCCTTCCATTGAAAAAAAAGCAGGGCAGCTGACAAAGCACCTTTTCATTTTGCTGAAGAACTATGCAAGACATGGGGCTGCCAAGGGCCAGAACTTCCACCTAGTAGTAAACTGCTTCAAGGTAAGGTAACACAGCTGTGCCCAGAGAAATCAGGTCCTGGATTTTCCATTGCCCTTTGTAGTTTTGCTCAGAAAATTTTGAAAAAAGTTTGCTAAGGCTCAAGGGTTGTTATCCTTGGTGAAAAAGCATTGTTGTTAAGACCTTACCATTTGGGAGGGGAGGGGGTGCTTGCTAGTTTAACTTCACTGTTGCTGCAATTTGCAGTGCGTGACCGTCATTGTCAAGAAAGTCAAGTCTTACCAGATAACTGAAAAACAGCTCCAAGTTCTTCTGGCATATGCTGAGGAGGACATTTATGATACTTCAAGACAAGCCACTGCGTTTGGTCTTCTGAAGGTATGATGTCAGCGGTGTTGCCTTTTGAAGTTTATGAGCCTCGCATCACATAGTTAGAATAGCTTGGATCATAATGGTTTTGGCCAGCTATAGATTTCTGAAATGAACTAATTTATAAAGATTATTGTATTTGTGATGGGTCATATGCAAGCTGAGGTATCCACTTTTGAAAATATTTGAATGTTATCTTTCTTATAATATTCCTAGGAAACTCTACTTTCATCTATCATATTGGATCTTCTTTCGTTATTGTGATAAAAGATATATAACATAGAACTTGCTGTTATAACTGGTTTGAAATGTTCATTCTTGTTCTTTTTCTTTTGAAACTGCTTTTATTGTGCTTGAAATCTGCCTGCAACCACTTTCACATCAAGCTGACTTCTGCCCATCAGTGATAAAACATGTGAAATGAGTGTGTCTTTTCTTTTGTACTTCAGGCTATTTTATCAAGAAAATTATTGGTCCCAGAAATTGATGATGTCATGCGGAAAGTATCCAACTTGGCAATTTCTGCACAAAATGAACCTACCAGAGTCCAGTGCAGACAGGTGTGTAGAGAGAGCTTCTTTCCATAGAAGGGCTGGGCCTACCTTTTCCATTTATCTTTTAATGACTGAATTTTGAAAACAGCCTGGACTTAGCATTCCAGGTAAAGGGAGCCATTGATGTAAACTTGTTTGAGGAGCTGGTAGAGTGGAGAGGAGGTGAAATCAGCTTGGACCTTGTAGTCTTGGTAAAGATTTAGGGCTTTATTTAGACAGGTTTTTGCTCTGTATCCCAGATTGGCCTTGTACTCCCAATCCTCTTGGCTCAGACTAGTAAGTCACCCTTTGTTCTAAGAACAGTAAAAAAATCGATTGAAATTCTCAGGCAAAGGAGTGACATGATCAAATTCCTAATCTTACAAACACATGGCACACCAAGAAGTGGGAGGTCTGAACTGGAATCAAGCACCTGGGTTGAGTAAGTTTGGGACTGCTCAGGAAACCAGCATTTAAGAAAAGAAACATGCATATGAGGGAAAAAATTGCTTTGCTACAATTAAGAAGCAAAACCAGCTGCTAATAGGACTATGATCCCTGGGTATACATACACCACCCCTATTTATAACTACCCTTCAAAAGAAATACTATCTCTTCTTACAGCTAGGTAAAAAGCCTTGGAAAGTTTAATTTCATCCCTTCAGTTTTATGGTTTTTTTTAATAAAGGAGGCTGAGTACCAGTGGTTTGAAAGCAGAGCTTTTGGACAAATATGACACATAGAACTCTGACATTGTCACAATGAGCAAGCTACTTAATCTCTCTGCTACCTTCATTTTCTTTTTTTTTTTTTTGTCGGTCGTGGGGCTTGAACTCTGGGCCTGGGGGCTGTCCCTCAGCTCTTCAGCTCAAGGCAAGCGCTCTACCACTTGAGCTACAGCACCACTTCCAGTTTTCTGGTGGTTTACTGGAGATAGGAGTCTCACGGTCTCTCCTGCCCGGGCTGGCTTTGAACCTCGATCCTCAGATCTCAGCCTCCTGAGTAGTTAGGATTACAGGCGTGAGCCACCAGCGCCCGGCTTGCCACCTTCATTTTCTTGGGTTGTAAAATGGTTGTCACCTGATGCTTCTTAAGGGAGTAGGAAGAATAACCATGAAATAAAAACCACCTTGCTTGGCACATAGATGGTATTTTGTAGTCACAGAAATTATTTTTATCAGTATTCATATTGTTTTTACTCAAGGGGAGGTATAGTGTTGAACCAGTCCATGTTCAGTTCAGCACACCACCTGTCATGTCAACTTCTGATGATCCAGGGTTAGATTTGAAGCCTTCACAACCAATGAGAGTGGTGGGCTATAGCTGAGAATGTGGCTTAGTGATAGAGTGCTTGCCTAGCATGCATGATGCCCTGAGTTCAATTCCCAAGTACTACATACAGAGAAAAAGCCAGAAGTGGTGCTGTGGCTCAAGTGGTAGAGTGCTAGCCTTAAGCAAATAAAGCTCAGGGACAGTGCCCAGGCCCTGAGTTCAAGTCCCAGGACTGGCAAAAAAAAGAGGGAGAGTGGTAGGCTGGACTTGACCTAGAGGGTCACTGGAGAAGTAAACAGGCCAATGCCGAGGGGCATAGTTGGAGACTTTGTAGACAGACTTTGTTGGAGTCCATTGGATAGCTGATTGATGACCCTTCTGAGAGGTCTTTAGAGCCTACTAGTGTGTCCTATAAAGTAGCTTAAGAACGAGAAATCCTAGAGAGATGGTATCCAAATAATCAACTGTAATTTTTGTTCCTAGGTTTATCTGAAATACATTCTTGACTATCCCCTTGGTGAGAAATTGAGACCAAACCTGGAATTCATACTCGCTCAATTGAAGTAAGCTTGTACCATTAACTCTAAGGGCAAAAGAAGAGTTTCTTATTTTCCTTTAATATGGTTACCATTAAGAAGAACTGCAGGGCTGGGAAGGTGACTCAGTGGTAGAGCGCTTGCCTTGCATGCATGAGGCCCTGGGTTCGATTCCTCAGCACCACATAAGCAAAAAGGAAAAAGCTGGAAGTGGTACTATGGCTCAAGTGGTAGAGCACTAGCCTTGAGCTGAAGAGCTGAGGGACAGTGCCCAGGCCCAGAGCTTAGGCCCCATGACTGGACCCAAAAAAAAAAAAAAAAAGGAAGAAGAACTGCAGGCCTGGTGCTGGTGGCTCACACCTGTAATACTAGCTACTCAGGAGGCTGAGATCTGAGGATCATGGTTCAAAGCCAGCCCAGGCAGGAAAGTCCATGAGACCCTTACCTCTAATAAAACACTCAGAAAACCGAAGTGGCACTATGGTTCAAGTGGTAGAGCACTCGCCTTGAGCTGAAGAACTGAGGGATAGTGCCCAGGCCCAGAGTTCAAGCCCCACACCCAACAACAACAACAAGATAAAAACTGCACCTAGATATACTAGCATGTTTTCTGAGAATTTTGTAATGTGACTCAGCCTGCCTATCACATAGCACTTGGCTTCAAATAGAAGTTCTATAAATTGCCTTTACTCATCTATCTAATCTGGCTGCTTAATGTCTAAATCCACTTTGGAAAATGTTAAAAAAAAAAAAGTACTAAAATTACACTTAAAACTGCATAGCAGCTTGGTGTGAGCATTAAAACGGGGACTTAGAACATTTTTTTAATTAAGTTTTCCAATAATTACCTATAAACTTAGAAGATACTAACAAGTTTGCCTTACGTTCTTGCCATAGTTATGAACATGAGACTGGAAGAGAGTCCGCCTTGGAAATGATTGCCTACCTCTTTGTCACATTTCCTCAGGTACTGTGATAAAGATGTTTTCCCAAACTGGGAGAGTGCAAAGGAAGGGGTGACACTGTCCAAAAAGAAATATACTCCTTACCTGACTTATCTAACTAACCCCTCTGTACATCATCTTTATAATAACAATTAAAAAATTTTAAAAAGAAAAGAAAAGCTGTGTTTTCCTATGAAGCTGGGCCCTCCCTTGTCAGTGTATCCATAGCAGTTGCATTCTGAGGGTGCTCACTTGGGCATTTTTCCTGCAGGGACTGCTGCATGAGAACTGTGGGATGTTCTTCATCCCACTTTGCCTGATGATGGTGAATGATGACTCTACCATGTGCAAAAAGATGGCGGCCATGGCAATCAAATCCTTACTCAGTAAGATCAGCCCTGAGAAGAAAGATTGGCTGTTTGGAATGGTGGCCTCCTGGTTTGAAGCAAAGAAGGTTAGTTCAATGACAGGTCTTGATGCTCATACTGATAAATTAGCCTAAACTTTACTCTTACCTGATGATGCAAGTAATATATTCTTAAAGTTTCAAAAAGTTAAGTAGTTACAGAAAATAACAGCAAAATCACCTGTGTTGATAGACATATGTGTCAAACATACCATGTTTTGCTTAAGTAGCCTAGATGGATGAATACCTTTGTTTCAAGTTGTGCTTATTTCTAGAATGTAATGTGTATCATTCTGTCCACTCACTGGCTGCCACCAGTCATTGTTGACCTATCTTTAGAATAATATAAATAGCGTGACTCCTCTTCCTTTGTTAATGAGGAGCATGCTGGATAAGCCACTTAAATGAGGGTGTGGAGTAAGGCTCAAAGTATATTTTGAGGGGAATGGGGAATTAACGTACTCAGTGGATAATGAATTATCATTTTTAATATGCTATTCTTACATGTGAAAATTTCTTCACATGTTTTTATGCTGGCCCTCAAAACTATATTTTACTGATTTCTATGATTTAAAAGAAATATTACTGATTGTGGTATAATTTGAAATTATCTGTGGTGGTTTGATTTTGGTAGAAATTAAATAAACAGCTTGCTGCCTTGATCTGTGGCTTGTTTGTGGAAAGTGAAGGGGTTGATTTTGAGAGAAGACTTGGAACTCTTCTTCCTGTGATTGAGAGGGAAATTGATCCTGAAAACTTCAAAGATGTAAGTAATATGCTTGGGGGCTAAACTTTGCTAATTCTTATTTTAAAAGTTTTACTTGAGATGGTGTAGCTAATATAGACACTGTGTTTAAAAAATATTAATCAGTGCTGGGAAGGTGGCTCAGTGGTAGAGCGCTTGCCTTGCATGCATGAGGCCCTGGGTTCGATTCCTCAGCACCACATAAGCAAAAAGAAAAAAAGCCGGAAGTGGCGTTGTGGCTCAAGTGGTAGAGTGCTAGCCTTGAGCTGAAAAGCTGAGGGACAGCACTCAGGCTCAGAGTTCAGGCCCCAGAGCTGGATCCAAAAAAAAAAATCAGTGCAAGAATTCAATACTATTGGAATTTCTTTTTAAAATGGGACTTGGCATGATTACATGCCTGTAGTCCAAAGGCTAGAGTAGGATTAGGTCCTTAAGGTCAGTCTGGCTATAAGGCAAGATGCTATGCAATTTAAAAAAGAAAAGAAAAAAAAAGGGGCAGCAGTGGCTCACATTTATAATCTTAGTTATTCAGGAGTCTGAGGATCATGGTTCAAAGCCAGCCCAGGCAGGAAAGTCCATGAGACTCTTATCTCCAATTAACCATCAAAAAGCCAGAAGTGGAGCTAGACCAAGTGATAGAGTGCTAGCCTTGAGCAAAATGCCAAGGAAAATGCCCAAGCAATGTGTATGTGTGAAACTAAGTTATCTTCCACAGTACATGAAGATTAGAGGTTCACACCTGGGGTGATCTTGACACCCCTTCCCCCAGGGGACATTTGGCAATGTCCAGAGACATTTTGGAATATCACAACTGCAGATTGCCATTGGCATCTGCAGGATAAAAAGGATAGGGGATCTGCTAAGCGTCTTTGAATATACTTGGCAGTACCCAAGAGCAAAAGATATCTGGCCCCAAACCTCTATAGTATCAAGGTTAAGAGACCTTGTACAGTTGATACTCCCGAGTTGTTATGGGAACTGATTTGCATCCTCCTTTGTAGATCATAGAGGAGACTGAAGAGAAAGCTGCAGACCGCCTGCTGTTCAGCGTTCTCACTCTGATCAGTAAACTCATCAAGGAATGTAATATTATTCAGCTTACCAAGCCTTCTGAGACTTTGAATAAAATCTGGAGTAAGTATTTCTCTATTCAGATCTAAAGGCACATCAGTTGTGGCCAGATCACTGAAAACAGATTGGGGGAATTTGAATAGAAACACTTTAGAGAGTAGATGTTACAAAAAAGTGAGTGAACAGCCAGGCACTGGTGGCTCACACCTATAATCCTAGCTATTCAAGAGGCTGAGATTTGAGGATCACAGTTTGAAGCCAGCCCAGAAGAAAAGTTCCCCTGAGACTCCTATGTCCAATTAACTATTCAAAAACAGGAAGTGGAGCTGTGGCCCAAAGTGGTAGGGTGCTAGCCTTGAGCAAAAGAGCTCAAGGACAGCACCCAGGCCCTACTTCGAGCCCTGCAATGAACAACAACAACAAAAAAAGTCAGTGAGGAAAAATGTAAAAGTTCCCATCAAATAGATCTTTCTGGGAAAAAAGGTGTATGATTTTATAAGTATGTAAGAAAAGACATCAATTATGGGGTAATAGATGAGACGGAAACAATACCATTTGTCTTGTTTGCTGCGCAATAATTTATTATATTCTTTTCCCCTCTGATCCCTTTCTCCATTCTTCCCTTTCCTCCTAACTTTATTAAGGTGTAATTGACAGACAAAAATATTTATTTGCCAGGAGCTGGAGGAGGCTCACGCCTATAATCATAGCTACACAGGAGGTTGAGATGTGAGGATTGCAGTTCAGAGCCAGCTTAGGCAGAAAAATCTATTGAGACTCTCACCTCTAGTTAACCACCAGACCGCCAGAAGTAGAGCAGTGGCTCCAGTGGTAGAGCACTGGCTATGAAAAAAAGTGCAGGGGCAGTGCCTAGGCCCTGAGCTCAAGCTCCAAGACTAGCACAAAATAAAACCTAAAAATACTTTCCATAAACAACTTGATGTTTTAAAAATTTGTAAATGGTCAATATTTCCATTCAGTCTATTAAATAGGCACAGTGGGCATTAATATGATTCAACTGGTAAAGCTCCTGCCCAGCAAGACCTGAATACAGATCCCAATACAACCAAAACAAAAAATAGAGGTGTTGGGGGCAGGGAGGTTGCTGCTTAGTTAGCCCCATATAGACTCTTATAACCTTTTTGTTTTTGTTCATCATATTTTGAATTCCTGTGAAACTAGAGATTGAATTCAGGGCCTTGTCCATGTCAGGCATGTACTCTACCACTGAAGTATATTCCCAACAAATATAGAACAACAATAAGAACACGTTTGTTGATAAATACAGTAGTGTAGGCTGAAACTGAAATGATTTGATTGATCCATCCTCTTTGAGACACATTATAGGCTTTGCAGATCTGCTTTCTGCAAGTGGCTACATAGCCTAAGCCAAAGACTTTGGTCTTTTGGTCTAAATGGTGTATGAGATAATGTATATAAACACCATTAACTCTATGCTTGGCAGGTAGAAAACCTTAAGAGAGAGTGTTCCAGGCAGCTATTTGGGCCTACCAATTTCAGTAATAGAAACAAGCATGTATCTTTATATACTTGTCTCATTCACTCTGGAAGATGGAACATGGGTGTCCTCTTCCTTGAATCTGAAACACCTTCATATAGGATGCCTATATGTTGTATGGAACTAGTTTGCATAGAGCCAGTGTTAACACCTACCTCTTTAGTATCCTTTAAAGATAGGGAGTTGGTTTTCTACTTGCTTCTTGATTTTCTCTTGTGTAGAGAAGCAGGACTGTTCTGACCAGCTTTGATTCCCTGTCCCACACATGTGTATAATAGATGCTCATTCTATGGCTAATTCAGATATGTTGGCTACCAGAGAACGAGGAATATGAGACATCCAAGAATGTATTTCCATTCCCCTAGGTCACGTGCACACCCACCTGAGACATCCTCACAGCTGGGTGTGGCTCACAGCAGCCCAGATTTTTGGACTACTCTTTGCCGCTTGCCAGCCTGAGGAGCTTATTCAAAAATGGAATACCAAAAAGAGAAAAAAGAAACTCTCAGACCCTGTAGCAGTCAGGTTTCTAACAGGTGATCTAGACCAAAAGGTAAGGTTTCTCGTAAAACCTTTCCTTCCTTCATGACCTGTAAGACGTCTTGCTGTGGTTGTTTGACTGTCCTGAGGCCAGCCCTTGGAGAAAACACTTTAAGTGACTACTTGCTACATGTGTGAACCAATATGGGAATGCTAACAGCGGAAGAGAGGTCATCCTCAAGGCCAGGCTTTTTTTTTTTTTTCGGGGGGGGGGGTCTGGTTGTGGGGCCTGAACTCTGGGCCTGGACGCTGTCCCTCAGCTCTTCAGCTGAAGGCTCGCGCTCTACCACTTGAGCCATAGCGCCACTTCCAGCTTTTTTCTTTTTGCTTATGTGGTGCTGAGGAATCGAACCCAGGACCTTATGCATGCAAGGCAAGCGCTTTACCACTGAGCTACCTTCCCAGCCCCAAGGCCAGGTTTTTTAAAAGATAACTTTACCATCAATTGAGCCAGACTTCTGATTTGTCTATATTTCATGTTAATGGTCCTTTATGACATGAGTGGAGAATGTCAGGAAAGGAAAGAAAAGAAAAAATACCCAAATGTTTCCAAGTGCTCTCTCCACTAATAGACTAAGGATTATTACCAACATCTCTGCAGAATGTGATAGAATTCCATTTCTTTATACTTGAAACACTTGGGGTGTTTCACAAGGGAACAGTTTCAGTTTCTGATCAAGAACTTTTTCTCTCCAAATCTATATAAGTAGTCATACCGAACAAAATATAATCAGTCAAATTATGGTTAGTTATGGCTGGGTTTCATAAGTAATCAGAAACATCCTGTTATGTGAATTTCACCCTGCCAATGTCCCATTTCTTTTCAGATGAAAAGTATCTCTCTTGCCTCTTGCCACCAGTTGCATTCCAAATTCTTAGATCAGTCTCTTGGAGAACAGGTAAGAATTGTAGTCTTCCTAGTTTAGTAGAAGCAACCTACTATTCTTCAGCATTCCGAGGATAAGCTCACATTTGTTATTTGTTTAGTTTTTAGCCCATTTTTAGTTTGGTAAAATAAAAGCATATGCTTAAATGTAACTTTGGAGACTATGTTGGCAGATAGGCATTGGCTCTAATTTAAAGTTTTCAGTGGGAGGCTGCATTTTCAGCATTAACACAGCTACTTCACTATAACAAAAGGCTTAAAGGGCATTGGTCAGTTAATTATTCTTCTAATAAGATATAATTACCTTTCTCTCTTTATCTTAAGAAATCAGGAAAAACAGTAATGTGTTCTGAGTATACTATGTTCTGAGAACTGTCCTTAATAACAGATAAGTCATTCCCTTGTTAGAAAAAGGTGTATCACGATGTTAGGCACTGGTGGCTCATGCCTGTAATCCTAACTACTCAGAAGGCTGAGATGTGAGGATTGTGGTTCAAAACCAGCCTGGGGAGGAAAGTCCATGAGACTCTTTATCTCCAATTAACCAGAAAACTGGAAGTGATACTGTGGCCCAAAGTGGTAGAGCACTCGCCTTTAGTGAAAGAACTCAGAGACAGCACCCAGTCCCTGAGTTCAAACCCCATGACTGACAAAAGAAAAGAAAAGTAGAGCTGGGAAGGTGGCTCAGTGGTAGAGTGTTTGCCTTGCATACATGAGGCCCTGGGTTTGATTCCTCAGTACGACATAAGCAGAAAAGGCCAGAAGTGGTAGAGCCTTGAGCTGAAGAGCTCAGAGACAGTGCCCAGGCCCCACAACCAACTTAAAAAAAAAAAAAATAGAAAAGAAAGGTATATTATGTATTTCCATATTACAACATGTAAATAGAGATAACTGTTTAAAGTAGGTTGTAAACTAATTTGCTGTTGATTTACTTTTTTTCCCTTTTGATAGAGAAGTGAGACTAGAAACTAATGGGCAAACACCACTTGGCCCTTGGCCATCCCATGGCCCTTTATCATGCCCCTCTGTGAATTTTATTAGACTGGGTAGAGTAATACAGACTGCCAGAGACTAGAAACCAGGTCAATATCTCCACCTAAAGAATATTTTCATGTCATAAGCACTGACCTTTCTATCACATTTTGTAATTTAGAGCCTGTCCCCATTTTATGATAGGATCAAGAAAGGAATGGATAGGCACACAGTGCAGAGCAGTGTGGGACAAAGAAATCCTGCTAGGGTAGACAATGGAGTATGTTTCACATAGTTATCAGTTTAATGGACAGTTAAGGTGACCAAGAGAGATTTATAGTATAAAAGAGGGATTTTAGTTGCATATCTTAGGGTAAATTAACACTGTGAAGTGGCTACCACAGGAAGAGAAAGCCTTCACACCCAGGCTGTATTCAGAGGTCAAGTTTGAGAAGGTATTGGCACTAACTCCTAATGGCTAAGCCAGGTATAGAGAAGGTGGAGTTCTGAGCACTAGACTTTGGAAACATCTAGCAGAACAGCCAGGATAGTGAATGAACCCAAGCCATCTTGTTTTTCTCCCTCATGTTACTAGGTTGAAATCTATCAGAGATTTAATAGAATTCACAGAGATAGGGATTCATGAATGGGTCCATTACTATAAGACCAATACTCTAACTAACTGGAAATAGATGGGACTTGAGGGAGATGTTCAGTTGGCCTTGAACTTAGCCATGAATTCTAAAGATTTCTGAATCCTGATACACCATTCACTTTGTACTTGGGTGAATCAATTGATAAATCTAAGACTTCATTTTCTTTCCTTGTAACAGAACCCAACAGGGATCTTGCTCTCTTTTTTTTTTTTTTGGCAAGTCCACGGGCTTTAACTCAAGGTCTGGGCTCTATCCCTGAGCCTCTCTGTACTCAAGGCTAGTGCTCTACCACTTACACCACAGCAGCATTTCTGGCTTTTTTTTTTTTTTTTTTGTATGTGGTGCTGAGGAATCGAACCCAGGGACTCACACTTGCCAGGCAGGCACTCTTACTACTGAGTCATGCCTCTAGCCCTTTGTTGTACTGGTTATTTTTTTTTTTGTCAGTCATGGACCTTGAATTCTGGGCCTGAGCACTGTCCCTGAGCTCTTCAGCTTAAGGCAAGTGCTCTACCACTTGAGCCAGAACACCTTTTCCAGTTTTCTGATGGTTAATTGGAGGTAAAAGTCTCACAGACTTTCCTGTCTGGCCTGGCTTTGAAACGAATCCTCACATCTCAGCCTCCTGAGTAGCTAGGATTATAGGCATGAGCCACTGGTGCCTGGTTAACTTCTGGCGTTTTCTGTGTATGTGGTACTGAGGAATTGAACTCAGGGCTTCATGCATGCTAGTCAAGACTGAGATTTTTTTTTTTTTGTGTGTGTGTGTTTTTTTGCCAGTCATGGGGCCTGAGCTCTGGGCCTGGGCCCTGTCCATCAGCTCTTCAGCTCAAGGCTAGCACTCTACCACTTGAGCCACAGCACCACTTCAGGCTTTTTCTGCTTATGTGGTGCTGAGGAATCGAACCCAGGGCCTCATGCATGCAAGGCAAGCGCTTTACCACTGAGCTACCTTCCCAGCCCAAGACTGAGATCTTTTAAAGTTGAATTAACATACTATATATGAAACAATCAAGTAGCTAGGTGCTGGTGGCTCACACCTGTAATCTTAGCTACCCAGGAGGCTGAGATCTGAGGATCATGGTTCGAAGCCAGCCAGGGCAAGAAAATCCATGAGACTCTTAAGTCCAATAATCTAGAAAAAAGGCTAGAAGTTGTGATATGGCTCAAGTGAGAGAGCACTAGTTTTGATACAAAGAGGCTCAAGGACAGCACCCAGGCCCTGAGTTCAAGCCCCACGACCAGCAAAATAAATAAATAAATAGAACAACCAAACAATGTTCAATTAATATATCTCTCCATAAAATGGTTGAAAGAGGGGCTAGGAAGGTGACTCAGTGATAAGAGTGCTTGCCTTGCATGCGGTGAGGCCCTGGGTTTGATTCCTCAGCACCACATAAGCAGAAAAAGCCAGAAGTGGTACTGTGTCTCAAATGGTAGAGCGCTAGCCTTGAGCTGAAGAGCTGAGGGACAGCACCCAGGCCCCAGGCCCAGCAAAAAAAAAAGGAAAATGATTGAAAGAATTTAATGAAGATAGAGTAAAAGTTTTCTTTCAATATGTACTAGGTGGGGCTGGAAAGATGGTTCAGTGGTAGAGCACTTGCCTTGCATGCACGAGGCCCCCTGGGTTCGATTCCTCAGCACCACATAAGCAGGAGAAAAAAAAAAAATGTATGTAGTTGGCCAGTCACCAGTGCTTACATCTGTAATCCTAGCTACTCAGGAAGCTGAAATCTGAGGATCATGGTTTGAAGCCAGCCTGGGCAGGAAAGTCTGTGAGACCTATATTTCCAATTAATCGCCAAAAAGCTAGAAGTGGAGTTTTGACTCAAGTAGTAGAATGCTAGCCTTAAGCAAAAAAAGCTCAAATACAGTGCCCAGGAGCCAAGTTCAAGCCCCAGGACTGGAACAACAACAACATCAAAAGGTAGTTGTTCCATTAGGACATTTTAATTTATCCTGTGTGACCTTGCAAGGTGGAACTCGGCCAGTAGGTTCCAAATGGATTTGGACATATTATGTGGAAGAACATATTGTCCAAGATGTAGCCTTCATTGATTTAATAGTGCAATACCCAACTGTTTGCTTGTATTTTCCAGTTGTCAGATGCCTATGATAGCTTATGCTCTAGAGAACCATGCTTGTTTCAGAATCTTAATTCTTTTTTTATCTCTCCCCACACATCTTTCTTAAAGGTTGTGAAAAATTTGTTATTTGTAGCAAAAGTTGTATATTTACTAGAACCACATTCTGAAGATAAGCAAAGTGAAATAAAAGTCTTGGTACAACACGAAGCTTTAGGAGACTCTGTGTCCAGGGATGCATTAGAAGAAAATGAGACCCATGGGAATGGAAAGGCAGAGCCTGACAGACAAAGGGAAGAGGAGAAGGAAGAGCCCGGCAAACCAGCCACTCTTCTGTGGCTGATCCAGAAGTTGTCTCGGATGGCAAAACTGGAAGCTGCTTATTCACCTAGAAACCTCCTAAAGGTGGGACAGGATGGATATAAGTGGCCTTTTTGTTTAGAGAAATTTAATATATGGGCTGGGAAGCTGGCTCAATGGTAGAGCGCTTACCTTGCATGCATGAGGCCCTGGGTTCGATTTCTTGGCACCACGTGAGCAAAAAAGAAAAAAGCCGAAATGGCGTTGTGGCTCAAGTGGTAGAGCGCTAGCCTTGAGCTGAAGAGCTGAGGGACAGCGCCCAGGCCCAGAGTTCAGGCCCCACGACCAGACCCCCCTCCCAAAAAAATTTAATATTATTATTGCTCCTCTCAAATCCCTAGGAACCTCACATTTTGAACCTAAACCCCCAACAATCTGTCCCAGTATAGAACCTTGTCTTTTATTATTATTAGTTATTATTTGTTATTATAGAGATGATATATAGAGGGATTACAATGACATGAGTCAGGAAATGAGTACCTTTCCTTTCATACAGTGCCTTTGTTCCCTCATTCTCTTCTCCCAGTCCTTCTTTCCCATCTCCACCCATGAGTTGTATGGTTCACTTTCATCAGTGTCCAGTGAGCTCCACTGCTGCCCTTTTCACCCTATTTCCCTTATGCCCTTCCTCCCATGCTTCCAAAGATGTGTGCTTAAATACACTATATATAAGGTAAAGAAGACAGAACCATCAAAACTAAAAACTTAAAAAAAAAAGATGTCTGTTGTTTCCATATCTTGGAATTGGTTTCAGTATGTATGTATATTATTTTATGTAAATATGAAGAAGCATCACACCTGTTTCCCTCCTAAAAGCATCCTCTTTAGGTCGCACTATGTATGAGTATCTAGAATCCTATGTAATTTACCATATCCCAGTGATCTAAATTTCTGCATATCAAGAGAATATGTGCCATTTGTCTCTTTGGGCTTGGCTTACCTCACTTAAAATATTTTGTTCTGGTTCTATCCCTCTCCCTACAAATGACATTATTCTAATAGCTGGGTAAAATTCCATTGTGTATAGGTACCCAAATGTTTGATCCACTTATCTATTGTGGGGCATCTGAGCGTTTCCATATCTTGGCTATTGTGAATAGTGTGGCGGTGAACATGAATGTGCAGGTGTCTTTATTGTTTCCTGGCTCATGATATTCACAGTAGATGCCTAGAAGTGGTTGGGCTGGGTTGTAGGGAAGGTAGAACCTTATCTTCTAAATTAATACTGCGAGTTCTTATGACTGAAAAATAATCATTTCCAGTAAAAATGACCTTTGTTTATAGAGAACATGCATCTTCAAGTTCCTTGGGGCTGTTGCAGTGGATCTGGGGGTGGACAGGGTAAAGCCGTATCTCCCAGTGATCATCTCGCCTCTCTACCGAGAACTGAACAGCACATATTCAGATCAAGGTAATGGTCACCACCTTCTGTCTTCCTACATACCAGGGGTTCTAACTTCTCTCCTAGTTGCCTCCTTCCTTTTGGTCTTCAGTTCATACAGAGTTTAAGGATGAAATCTTATGAAGACAGTTTAGTTGCACATAAGCCAGCATGTTTATACTAATTTTATTTTCTTCTTTCTTTTTGTTGGTCATAGTGTACTGTCCCTGAACATTTTCACTCAAGGCTAGAACTCTACCACTTGAGCCACAGTGCCACTTCCAGTTTTCTGGTGGTTAATTGAAAATAAGAGTCTCATGGACTTTCCAGCCCAAGCTGGCTTCAAACTGCAATCCTTAGATCTCAGCCTCCTGAGTAGCTAGGATTACAGGGATGAGCTACCAGTATCCAGTTTACATTTGTATTTGATGACTTTCTTCTATATGCTTTCAGAGAGAGTGAATGTTTCTTTCCTAAAAGTGGTGCCTTAGTCCTAAGCATTGATTATGCAAAGAAAACTGATTTGGTATATTGTTCAACCTTATAGGTTTGAAGTGTAGTGGTATATGTATGTAATCCTAGCCCTCAGGAAATTGAAGCAAGAGTTCAAGGCTGCATAGGGGGAGCCCTGTCTTCAAAAAAATGAATAAAGCCAGGCACCGGTGGCTCAGGCCTATAATCGTAGCTACTCCGGAGTCAGATCTGAGGATTGCAACTCAAAGCCAGCCTGGGCAAGAAAGTCTGTGAGACTCTTATCTCCAATAAGCCACCAGAAAAACAGAAGTGGCGCTGTGGCTGAAGTGGTTGAACTCTAGCCTTGAGCTGGAGAGTTCAGGAACAGCACTCAGGCCCAGAATTCAAGCCCCACTACTGACAAAAAAAAAAAAAAGTAAACTTCATCTTGTTATGAACTACATAATAAGCAATAAAATATTCTTATATTCTCTTCTTAGGAATTGCAGGGTAAACTGAGTACTAGTGACTCAAACTTGTAATCCTAGCTGCTGAGAAGGCTAAGATCTGAGGAGTACAGTTGGAAGCCATCCAGGGCAGAAAAGTCCATGAGCCTGTTCTAATTAGTCACCAAAAGCTATGGCTCAAGTGGTAGCCTTGAGCACAAAGGGTCTCAAGGGCAGCACCCACCCTGAGTTCAAGAAAAACAGATGTAAACCAGGCACCAGTGGCTCACACCTGTAATCCTAGCTACTCCGGAGACTGAGATCTGAGGATCATGGTTCAAAGCCAGTGCGGGCTGGAAAGTCCATAAGACTCTTATCTCCAATAAACCACCAGAAATCCGGAAGTGTGGCTCAAGTGGTAGAGCGCTGGCTTTGAGCTACAGAGCTGAGGGCCAGGGCCCAGGCCCAGATTTCAAGCCCCACAACCAACAACAACAAAAAAGAAAAAACAGAAGTTTAAAAGTAGCTAGATACAACGCTGCAGTTTGAAGTCAGCTAAGGGTTACTTAGTAAAACTGTCTCCAAAAGGAAAGGTTTAAAAAATAGGCAAATGAAGCAGATTTATTTGTTTATTTATTTTGCTAGTCCTGGGGCTTGAACTCAGGGCTTGGGCACTGTCCCTGAGCTGCTTTTGCTCAAGGCTAGCACTCTACCACTTTGAGCCACAGTGCTACTTCCTGCTTTTTCTGTGGTACTGAGGAATGGATCCCAGGGCTTCATGCATGCTAGTAAGCAAGCACTCTACCACTAAGCCACATTCCCAGCCCAGGAGATTTTTCAGTTCTACAACTTTGGGCGAAATTTCCACACTCCAGTCTTAAGGGTAGAAAAGCCTTGGTGACGTTTGAGGCTGCTGAGAGCCAGGATCAGGGTTGCTTTTGAGTCAGCCAACATTTTACTAAATACCTAAGATCTGCAGGCATTAGGGCTTTACTAGTGGGAAAGGATTGGTGTTTCCAATCAACACATACCCTGAACGCTGAAAATGCAGAAATCTAAGTTATTTAGCTTTTCATTTGCTTCTTAGTCTCTAATCCCCAGAAAAGATTTCTGTGGACAGAGCTAAGCTTCTGTGAGCCACAGATTAGAGAGAAGCTAGAGAAGCAATCTTACCTCTCCCTACATCTGCACAAACCTGAGCAGGTTTATAAAGGTAGGGTCAAACATTGTCACGTTCTTGAATTTGCTTTTAGTGTCTTCAGGGCCAGGTTCTACTGAGAAGTAGGCCTCATAATCTCTGATTTCCTGTTGCATCCTGGCTGAGGTGGCAGTGGGTGTTTGGTATCAGCACTTCTGCTTGTCTTCCCTTGTCTGAGGCACAGGCCAGTTTGGGATTGGTGTTTAAATGCTGTAGCAGGAGTTCAAGTGTTCTGTGCTGTTCACTTGGGTGTCGCATGCCTGAGTCTAATCACTACTCTGTGTGTGTCACTAGATCCTATGCTGAAGAACCTTTCCCAGGAAATTATAGAATTACTCAAAAAGCTGGTTGGGCTTGAGAGCTTCTCATTAGCCTTTGCCTCAGTACAGAAACAGGCTAATCAGAAGAGGGCACTCCGGAAAAAGAGGAAGGCTCTAGAGGTGAGTTTGTTTTAGAATATGGCTTGTTTTACTTAATGTGACGTAACCGAAACATTTTTAGCTGAGGGTATGCACTCGTGTGTGTCACATCGAGAGGGGCAAGAGGTTTTGGGAGGTAGAGACTCATATCTGGGGCTCAATATTTTCATTAGTGAGCATACTATTAAATTTTAAAAGTAAATAATATGGCACTTTTTCTGCATTTGATTTGGATTGGCTTAAAACGTTCTAATTTCTGTTCTTTCTTCTTCAAGTTTGTAACTAATCCTGATATTGCTGCCAAGAAAAAATTGAAGAAACATAAAAATAAAAGTGAAGCAAAGAAGAGGAAAATAGAGTTCCTGCGTCCAGGCTATAAGGCCAAGAGACAAAAGACTCACAGCCTGAAAGATTTAGCCATAGTGGAATAAGACCTCCCCATGCTATGTGCGTAATTCAGTCTATAAAGTGTGAACTGTTTGGTACATTCTCCACTATCACAGATTTAAGTTTATTTAAGATAAACTATGTGGGACTGGGAAGGTGGCTCAGTGGTAAGAGTGCTTGCCTTGCATGCATGAGGCACTGGGTTCAATTCCTCAGCACCACATAAGCAGAAAAAGCCAGAAGTGGTGCTGTAGCTCAAGTGGTAGTGCACTAACCTTGAGCTGAAGAGCTGAAGAACAGCGCCCAGGCCCAGAGTTCAAGCCCCATGACCGCCCCCCCAAAAAAAAAATAATACAATAAAATATTCACAATTCTTTTGTGAAAAATATGTAAAATTCTAACAAGGCATTAAAAATATCTACACAAATAAAGAGAAGTAGCCAGGAAGTAGGAAATTCAGTATCATAAGCTGCTACTTCTTTCCAAGTTAATACTATTGGTTAAATGTTAGCTTAATAAAGCTGAGATAGCTATGACACTCTTAAAAAGAATAAGGTAAGTGGCTTGGCCTATAGCTACCAAAAGACACAAAAACTGCTGTTGACATAGTAAACGTAATAAATCCTGCTTCAATACTATTAATAACTTTAGCTTATGAAAAGTTACAAACTAGGATATAATATATGCTGAATACTGTTTTATAGGATCACTAGTGTCCAATATATAACAACTACCAGTAAATCAGCAAAGATAATCAGTAGAAAAGGTGACCAGAGGGGCTGGGAAGGTGGCTCAGTAGTAGAGCGCTTGCCTTGCATGCATGAGGCCCTGGGTTCGATTCCCCAGCACCACATAAGCAAAATAGAAAAA